CTTTATTCAAGATCTTAATTTATGTTAGAATGCTATTGGTTTCTGACAAAGTGAGATTACTTTTAGAATATTGAGAATAAATGTAAAGTTACTATTATAAAATAGCTATTAAAATATAATTCAGAGAAGAAAGGTATTAAGTTCGAAACTTTTTTCAAATTAAACATTTCTATAGAAAATAGCCCTGGAACTCATAGTCTCTTAAGACCACCTTTCCTAATTCTTGTTATTCAGTTTATAGATGTTATACCCGACTATTCAACTTTTTCGACAAAAAATATAGGGAATAAAATAAAAAATAGCTTTATATAGTAGCTGGTAAACTAAAAACCAGAGAGAAAGATTCTTTTAGTTCGAAACGTTGTTAAAAAATATTTTTTTAAAGAAACAAACCCTAGAAATAATAGCCTTACTTGACCACCTTTTTCAATCAAGATTTTTTTTAAACAAAAACAAATCAATTTAAAAACAAAATGTATCTTAAACTCCTCTTAAAAAATACTTCTTATTCAAGATTAATTATTTTAAAATGCAAAGCCATTTATTTTGTTTACCATCTCCATTTGAGAACTTGGCATTTGCAGGCTGGCCGGCCAACTTTCACACAATTTTCGCACAGACACCAGCTGTTGCTCGAGTTTGGAGTTTTTGTTTAGTTGTGTTTTTTGGCCAAGACTCCCCTACACCCTCTCGCTTAGTCTCTACCCCCGCCTTATTGGGCAAAAGCAAAGTGGAAGACTGTTTGCTTTTGGTTTGGCTCTGTAACTAATCTCGTTTATCACGATTGTCGTGTCACGCTCGCGTCATTTGACCCACACACACACACATCAAATCTCTTGCCACGTTTCTTGCCACCCCCACTGCCCCCTCCTCTCTCTCTTCCTTCCGGCCAAGTCTAGTGGCTCAAGTTGCACTTCTGTGTGTGTGTGTGTGTGTGCGTGTGACTTTGGCCAAAAGGCTTTCTGCCACGTTCATTGTCATTGCCAACATCTTGTGACCGTTGGCGACACGTATGTAGTTTCCACACTTGCCACCTCCCCAGTCATCCTGCCACCGCCCATTTGGGGCACAACCCTTTCGGCCACACACTCTCTAACCGCAATTTGCATTGGCTGCTGTCAAACGCAGCCAGGCGACTGCCAATTTATGAATGGGCCAACAACGAACAGCCAACGACCGGTGACCCTTGACCCCAGCTTGTCAGTTAGCGACCCTTTTTTTGTTGTGCAATATTTTATACATTTTTTAAGCGCCATAAAAATTGAATTAAATATAAATCACAAAAAAATCTCTGCCCAGTCAGGGACCAGCCATCAAGCTCCCTGAAAAAAACCGAATAGATTTTTCAAAAGTGGAAAAATTTCAAGTTTTAAAGTATGTACTCTGAACGGATGATAGAAAAGTTTGTTCCAAAATTATAGATTTTCTTAAAAACTAATTGAAGTTTTCTTTTATTTAAATGTTTAATTCTTAAAAGATATATATAAAAAAATGTATTGAAAAATAAGAAACCGTGACTTTGCAACCAGAACTTTTCATAACATTATATTTATAGTTACAACTTAAATTTATTCAAACAAAAAAAATATTTTGTATTATTTGCATATTTAGTTAAATTTTAACCCTAAAAAAATGCCCTAAAATCAATATTAGATCTAGGATGAGCAAAAATTGTCATTAAATGAGACTGCCACCAGGACCATGTAAAGTTTTCAACTTTTTCGCAAACCGCAAAAATTGCCACATCGTTTTGCAACACACTCCCATCTACACCCGTACACACACCCACACTCTGTATGGGTTGACCATGCCACGCCCACTGGCTAGGGCTGTACGCCTTCCGGTTCGGTGCGACTCTTCAAATTGGCCACAAAAACCAAAAAGTGCCAAAAACGCAACAGCAACAGCAACATCAGAGAAATGCAACGAAATTGTTGCCACTCGTTGAACAACCGCCACGCCCCACTGACTCTGTACCCGCCTTCGTTCCGCCCACCAGTTACGCCCCCTTTTGCACCCCTCTAGCCCGACACTCTTGTCCCCTCTTGAAACAAAAAACAAACCATAAAAAATAGTAACCTTTCTATTTTCATCGAAAGAGAGGCGACAAAAACTATCAAAGCAATTGCTTTTTGTTTCTTTTTTTTTATCTGTTTTTTATCTTTATTTATCTATTATTTCTTTTCAAAGAGAATAAAGGATAGAAAAAAAACCTATTCCCTAAATCCCTTAACAAGTATTTTCCAAAACTTTAACTTTTCACAGAATATTTTTTCAAAAAATCATTTTTTTAAAACTTCAGTAAACTGTCACAGTTTATTGTTTTTGATCATTTATTTGGATTCAGTTTTATATATTTCATTGATTATTATTATATTATTATTATTTATTTGAAATTGTTATTAATATTTATTTTAAAAGAAACTGCGCATATTACTTTAGTAATATTGCTGCCTTTTAATATATATTTTTTTTCATCCACTTTACAGTATTTTTATGCAGTTTTTTCAGTTTATTCGGTTTGTTTTTTTCACGATTGCCAGCCTTACTTTCTCGATGCTTCCTTTGATGATGGGAGGTCAGAATTAATCGAATAATCGATATATCCGTATTCCGTAGAGCTCTCGCTCTCTTTCCGCTTTCCAGCCGTGGGTGCATTTGTGTGCGTAAGTGTTCGCTGGTGTGTATCGGTGTGTACTGCAAATGCGTTTCAATGAGCACCGTTATTCATGCACTGATAAAAAAAAATTAATATTATTAATAAATTGTTGTAATAAAAAATGAAAAATTTTTTTGTAGATTTTGGAGAAAAATGTAGGCTTTATAATGATAATCATTCAAGTAATTATATTTTTTTAAAAATTGTTTTCAGTGCAGTTGCCTGTAAGGGGAGTCTGCAACCGGAGCTTTGTATAAAAGTCATATCCATTGCGTGTTTTTGTCGCGTTTTTTCAAGCGTGCTGTAATTTTTTTATGTCCCTGCGCCGAGCTCAGTGAATCCTTTACCCCATGTCCTGCATCCCATGTCCTGTGTCCTCAGCATACATGTGTGTGTATATGTATGTTTATTGGTGTTGGTGCGGCTAGACGCATAAATATTCTGATTTGGCAAAAATTATATGCCCGTACGTGCAGCGAACGGGTAAACCGATTCTGGATTCAGGATTCAGGCTTCAGGCCTCAAGCTACAGGATTCGAGTACTTCAGTAATATGGCGAATTGCTAGAGTCGCCTGGCAGGACCCCCAGAAGTTGCAGGACGGCTGCTTTATGACAGCGCATAATTTACAAATGGGAGGCCCAGAAAAGCCTGTTGCATAAATTTCACACAAAAACACACAGCAGAAAGTCGCCATTTGCGCCGCCAACGGACGACCGGCCAGTCCTTGAACAAGTCCTTCGGATTTTAAGCGAGTCCTGTGGCGCGAACAGCAGTTTCATTTGCATGCCACGACGGCGGAAGCGGGCGACTGTGGGAATGTTGAGGAACGGGCATCCCTTCCGGCTTTTTTCCGCGGTTCGTTGTCGTCTTATCGCTGCCCTGACGTCTTTCCTATTTTTCGGTTTTGGGCTAAGAGCTGCGGAGTCCTTTTTATCTTTAGCCCACAACGGGATGATGTACGAGCGCGGAAAAACCCAGAAAAGTTCCATTGGCCGCTTAAATGTGCCAAAAAATAATCGATTTGTTTCTTTCTTGTGCCAACTCTTAATCATTAAAGGGGGAGTTATATATTAAATATGATATTTATGAATTTAAGAGTATTTACGCTTGTATTACAAATAACGAGAAAAAATACCTACAACAGGGACAGCTATATATTTATATCCGATAAATCTCTCAACTAAAACTAAAATACTTAGATGATGTTTAGGAATTTTATAATATTATAATATATATGTTTGTTATAAAAGTAAAGAGAAAAAACAATAACTAGACGGATAACGATATTAATCGATATATCCCTTAACAAAAGCATAAATCCATACAAACACTCTAATACTTTTCTGATATCTTTTTTTCTTAAAAAAAAAAACAAAAAAAGAAAGACACTCTCAAGAAAATGTAAATTTTGGCAATCTTTAATATTTGATTGTTGCTTGTCCTGTTTCTGAGATTTCGCATTCCAGAGGCAGCGCCTCTTGCATTATTAATTTTGTTTTTTTTTTCTCGTCGAGATTTTTATATTAGATCTTGAAAGTTGCGTTGAAGATTTTCTATTTGGCCGAGTCCTTTTTGGTTTTCACCCCTCGTTTGGCCGTGATTTATTTGGCTGGATGATTTATGTCGGTCGGGCGAGTCGCTGTCCCTTATCCTTGCCCCTTTCTCCAAGTTTTTCCCAGCTTTCTTTTCCCAGGATTCCCATACTGATCATACTGATTTTGCCTCGAGATTCTGTTGAAGCTTCGTGAGGGGTCGGCGGTACGAGGGGCGCTTACTAACTTTCCTTATCTCCCCAAAAGTGTTTACAATTTCAAATCTCGATTTTCCGTATTAATTATTCAAGTTGCAGTTTAAGTTGGCCATTGGTTTGTTGAAGACATAGTAAAGCATAGTTAGTTAAGTAATAATGTTTTTTTAATTAAATACATATATTTATAAAGATTTCTTGTTTACAGTGCGTATACGTGATATTTATCAATTGATTCATTTTTGTAGCATACATTTTGGGATATCCGATTTTAGTTTTTCGATTTGTTTATATTTTTCATGGGAACCTAGAGGGGAACCACCAGCCATAGCCAGTTTCCTTGGCCCAATTACGAGCAGGATTCCCATACTGATCATACTGATTTTGCCTCGAGATTCTGTTGAAGCTTTTAGGAAATTATGAAAAAATCGTTTAAAGTATTCTATTTAACTATCAGGTAGAAATTGACAATGATATATATCCTATGAGAAATTCTGATTTTCAGCCACAACTTACAAATAATTAAAACAGTGGATATATTTTCTTACGTTTATTTATTCTTTTTTTTTTTTAATTTTTTTTTCTTTTTTAATTAATACCTGAATTTTTTAAAACAATTTTATAACCAAATTAGACGTATGACTGCAACTTTCCCGATAACAAGTAATCTAGATTTGCCAGCGCCTTGGAATTTCAGAATTAAGTTGATTAAACTGAAGATCGAAATCCGACATTCGAGTATATAGAGTCTTGTGGTAAGTCTTGAATGGAGTCTTGAAAAATTAAGCAAGTCTTGAGATTTCTAGTTCAAATCGAGTTTTAAGTTCATTGCAAACCCGGTTGTGACCAAAAATATGGGCTTTGATGAAAAACTAAAATCAAAACCGGCATTGAGAGTAGCAGTCACAGTCCAATAACTCTCATATGGAAGACAGCTGTAATTAAAAGCGCAAATCGATCCAAGGTTGTCCAGGCCGGGGTCCGTCTCAGAAAAGTGCGATTTAAATCCTACGGAATCCGCAGTTCAATCATCAAAATAAACAATTTTTTTTAAGATTTTTACCATCGAGCTGTCACATAAACATAACATCAGAAGCGCACAATTTTGAATTCCTCGCGACAACTTCAACTTGGGAGGAAGGTATTCTCTATAATTGTTAAAAAAAATCAGTTTCAAAATATTTAATAGATTAGATTGGAAAGCCAATAAGTAAAAAATTTTTTCAGTATTACATTTTACATTTGACCTAAGATAACTTAAGACTATCTCATAATTACAGTCAAGTAACTAATAACTGTTCAGATGTGTTAGAACTCTAATTGAAGTGCTTGTTTTTTATAGATTCAATTAGAAACTTATTATCTAGTTTGGCCTTTAACTTTAATGAATTACGTATTATCAAAACTAAAGACGCTTCAAGATAACAAACCATAGTAGTGTCTTCTTGAATTCAGTGCGAATCTATTGAAATTTTTTATTTTTTGAAATGGTTGCTAAATTTTGTATTTCCCAAAACTGGCCTTGCAAAGATAACATTGTCTCTATAGAGAATGTCTCTATGGATATATTACATCTTATTGTAACAATTTTTTAACGTCCATGAACTTTTTTTTTGAAATATTTTGAACTTATTTATATATTATATAAGATTATATTAGCTTTCAAATATTGTTCAGCTTTTAATTAGTATAAAGAAAATAACTACTTTATACTACGCAAAATCAGTACTCACCTAATAAATACACTTTTTTTAAGCTATGTTCTCTTTGGCGAAAAATATTTCTATAGAAAAGTTCAATAATGCATGTTTAGATTACTGGGCGCCTTGAATGTTTCGCTTCGAAATCCAAATTCCACGGTTTGTTCGCCCACCGACATTTCTTGGATTAGCTTGGCTCGAAGATTGTCCTTTTCCCGCTCTTCCTTCGAGTCGACGCGTTGCTGATAGTAATGAGCTTTCTGGTGAGCTTTCTTCTCCATCTTCAGTTCAGGCAGCTCCTCGTCAATGGAGCGGTTCTTGTCGAACATTTTCGAGCGACTAATCGCCCGATTAATCGCAACCATCTTGCGAACTTTATCCCTCAGTGTATTGGAATCCATTCTAGTAATTTTTCAAATGTTTCAAGTCAAAGTTTTTGTTTTCTATTAGGGAGAGTATTTTTTGTGATGTTTTCAGCTGGATAGTATTTTGTTGAATGAGGTTTCTGTCAAACTCCATATGCAATGTCTATATTTCATTTTGTTTCGAATGTTATGGCCAATGTGATCCCTAATTTTATAAAACTTAGAAAAAAAACAGGTTCTTAAACTATAATACGAACTACGTAGAGTTTTTTCCTGAAAAGATACAATTTCAAGATACAATATTTTATGCTGTTGTATATTATTTATTCTATTATTCAAAATATTATCGTATATATCGTACAGTATTTTCCTTATCCTTTTTCCCTTCTTGTACATTTTGGAATAATGGGCCTCAGACCAAATCCACCCAACAAAATAAACACCCGACCGATTAGATATATTCGGAAACCTACAATCTTATGTTGAATCGACCATGAGTCTATTCTAATCACATATTTATACCCTTGCAGAGTGTAGTATAATTTTAATCAAAAGTGTGCAGCGCAGCTAAGAAGACATTTCCGAGCCTTGAAGGTATATCTATTCTTGATCAGGATCACCTTCTGAGTTGAATAATTCTAAATGAATCGAGGGTAATGATTAAAAACAGTGCACCATCATATTCAATGCTTTGAATAACATGTATCTTTAGCTTCTGCCTTCATAGAGTTTCAATATTGAAGTACATTCATCTTAGTCAGTTACTGCATCTCATTTGGGTTCCCAAAAGCCCTGGCAATTTGAATAATCAACTTGAAGTATGAGTATGCCAGTCCCAAGGGGCTGTCGTCGACATTTTGGTTTCGCTGCCAGCCTGCCAGTATTTTGTAATATATCTGTATTTGTCTGTGGTATATATCAGTACAGAGTGCAGAGTAATGTATAGATGATTTCCATCCTGATCTCGATCAAATGTGGAAAATTTGTTGCCCTGCGAAAGCCTCAGAGCTGAGCCGGTCCTCCCAAGCTCCGTCAAACTTTTCACCATATATCCTTCTCGTCGATTCCCAATCTGAAAGTTGTCGCCTTTTTAACTTTCGTTATCATAATATGAAAAGAAGAAATGAGGCCTTCCATTCTTCAGCAACTGCAATCGTCTGAGTTCGATAAAGAACTCATCCCGCGCCTTCGTTCCGAAATTTCCAAATGCAGTTTCATATTCCTTATATGTGCGATTAAATTCTTTTGAATCATAATATTTAAAAAAAAACCTCCAACCAACCAGATCTAGTCCGCAACTCTAGTTTTTGGCATTACTTTATCTTTTTCTCCGGGAAGTTGTTTCGTTAACATTTCTTCACTTTTTACTTCCGCTTCCACTTTTTTATTATCAAAACTTTTATTTTGTGCCATCTTATCTTTATTTTGTGGCTGCGACTTTGTCTGATTATTAATATTAGCCTGAAGGTTTTGTAAAATTTCTCCAGATTTCACAATTTTGCCCATCTTTTCAATGTCTTCGCTTAATATTTTTGTCAACATTCCAAGCTCACTTTTCTCCTTTAGGTCACTAATTTGATCCTTTAAAGATCGATATTTTTTCGGGTATTTTTTTTCACCTATGCGAACTTTAAGTTCGTCAACTTCCAGATGTTTTGATTTTAATATTTCATATTTGGCACTAAGTTCATTGAGTTGAAGCAGCACATCTGAATACCTTTTCTGCAAGTCAGAAAAATCGTTCTGGAAGCGCGATATCTGGGCATATTTTACCAGTTCCCTTTCCTGAAACTCCAAGTGCTTTTTCTCTAAAAGCGAGTATTCCTTTTGAATCTGTGACATTTGAGAATCCTTGTCCTGGCATTTCTGGAAATACCTCAAGAGGGTCTGAAAGATTGGATACCACACAGAAGCAAACTCCTCCTCTTGTTCTTCCGAAAGGTAGCAGGACTGTGGAATTTTAATATTAATTAATTTTCGAAATAATAACACTTTTAATATTACGTCTTCTGATGCTAGGGCAGCGGAAATAAAAACAGTTGCAGAGATGAGGACCACTGGCAGCATCATATTAGTAATTTTTTTGTTAGACAAAATCATTGACTTTCTTGAAGAATCTCTGACTGAATTTCAACTAATGCTGCGAGACTTCTGGCACCCGCTTTATTATACCATCTGTTGAGCTTGACTTTCGCCTTGACGGTTCTGATAAGGAGATCAGTTTTCGTGCGTGTGATTTTTTCGGATATTAGACTCTAGGTGCAAATCTATTAAGAAAATCAAAAAGACCCAGTCATCGTAAAAGGTCAGAAAACATTTGATTGGCAACAAGAACTTAAAATATTCTTAGAAGTTGTGCAGAAAAAAGCTTCAACGCACTGTATACAGACATATAAGAATATATACAGTGCTTCGCACCTTTTTGAAATCAACGTATTTTTTATACCCGGTACTCATCTCTTCCACCTACAATTTAACTTACCTTTCTAGTGTAAACTTTAAACGAATGGATTCTCAGCAACATCATTGTTGCCCCCCTACTAAGTTTTTAAGAAATTGCAATCTGATCTAAGCTTTAAGCTTACATCATATTTATGGGTCTCATCAATCTGAATATAAACAATAAAGTTTTTTTATAAGATGTTTTTTTATAATTAGGCAGTTTTAATAATATTTTATTATTATAGACCTATAAGCGTCCGGTGTTCTTTTTAAGAAACTTTATGTTAAAAAATGGAAAGTAAAATAATTAGCAACAAATGCCAAGAATATGCATTCTCTAGGGATGGGATCATTAATACCTGCTAATAGCTACATCCGTTTCCCTACTCTTTACTTTACTGCACTCGTTTTTTTTTTATTTGAAAAGACAATTTTTATTTCCATACCAAAGTATACTTTTGCTGTTATGTCATTTCCGTTTTTCTCTCAACTCTGAACGTAGTATCCAGTGTCGAATCAGGTCTCGACAAACAAACATCAAATTTGCATTCCATCAAAAGAATTTTCCTTTTTCTAAATTATTTCTCGATATTAAAAACTCGAAATTTTGTTGAAATTTTAAACCCGATAATCAACATGAATCGAAACGATTCTGAGCCTACCACCTCAGAGGGTATCAGCGAAGAAACCCTGTCGGAAAACTTGTCGGAGAAACCCATTGCGACCGTTTTTTCGCTGCGAGAGGAAGACCCCTGTGGAAGCCGTTTTAGCAGCTCGGTCACTTGTCAGGAAAAATTTATTTCGGATGACTCCTATGACAGCTACTCCGATGATTCCAGTGATAGCAAGATCGATGCGGAGTATCAGCCTGGTCTGGATCAAGATTTCGCAACACCGAGCAGTGGGGTTATAGACTGGAAAAACGACCCTCAACTGCCCACTGGCTGGGAGGAGCGGGTGATGCCCCACACCAAGGAGACTTACTTCTACGACACGAAGACAGGGAAGGTATACTACACCCTGCCTGGGATCAATCTTTTGGACCGTAAGAGGGGTCCTTTTATTCGCATGCGATTTCGGCACATTCTAATCAAGCACGAGGAGTCTGAATATCCCTGGTGTTACAAGCTGAAAAGAGTGAGTCGCACCAAGGCAGAAGCTTTGGAAAAGATAACCTTCATTAGGAATTTAGTTAAAAAGGCACGATGAGGTTCGCTGATGTTGCAGCGAAGCATTCCGATTGCTGCTCCGCCGTGTGCGGTGGGGACATTGGGCCCATCATGCTGGGCGAATCACTCGAAAACTATGAGAAGATAGTGTTCCTGTTGGAAATGTATGAACTTTCCGAGATCTTTGAGACTGGTTCCGGCTACCATATAGCGCTGCGCATTCCGTTGTTGATGCCGGAGCAGCAAAAGAGGCAAAAAAAGTTGGAAAAGAAAATGCAAAAAATCAAACTCGCCAACAATTTGAAAAAGGAGCGTGGTATTCACGTTCCTGACAAGGATTTATCGAGGAAGAAGACTTTATCCTACGGTGACGGTGACCCAAGATTCTATGGGATCGATACTGATGAGATGTACTCTCAAGATGGCAGGCTGCCTTTGAACGCGGATGCCCCTGATCAACATTGTAAACGGGAAATGTTGGCCGTGCAACAAGCTCTGATCAAGAAAAATGTTGTCGATAATTCCGCTGTCATTGACGAATCAAAGATCAAGCTCGTTAAACCTTCTGCGGAGAAGAGCTCCAGTGACTTTGATCTCAAAACTCTCTCAAGGTTGGATAATTCGAATCCCGACGACTACCGCCTATGGTAATCTATGTACTGCTTAATCTTAATCTATACCAAATGTTAATAATACTTAATGCAACATAAATAAATTTAATTGTAATGTTTTAAGTGCATTAAAAAAATGTTTGAATTCATAATCTATATAATAGTTTCGTTACTCAGTTTACTTTTGTATAATTTCAATTTTATCATAATATTTGCAATGAAGCTATAAATCTATTGAAGCATAAAGCTACGCCACATTTGTTGCACATGACTTGAGAATATCCTTCACAGTTTGGGTTCTTGCACCTGGGTGTGCAAGGAAGGAAAGAGATTCCTCGAGTGTGCGAAAGAGTTTGTCCTTTTCGTAAAATTTTTCCAATGCAATACAATAGCAAATGCTATTTGAAAAAAAACATAATTGTGGTCTCCATAGATGAACATATAACACAAACGACAAGGAAAACAAATAATTATACATATAATTTATGGCTATATCTTCCCCAATTCTCATCCAATTCTCGAGCGGAGTACCTCAAAATCTTGACAATATTTTTTAGATTTTTTGTCCATTTTTCGTGATGGGATCCCTTGAAAATGGGATTTTCCCCTATAGGGTCCACAGTGATGGCTATATCTTCCCCAATTCTCATCCGATTCTTAAGAGGATTACCTTAAACGATTTCTAGATCGATTCCCCACCATTCTGCATCAAAATCCTGAGACTAAATATTTTTTAGATTTTTTGTCCATTTTTCGTGATGGGATCCCTTGAAAATGGGATTTTCCCCTATAGGGTCCACAGTGATGGCTATATCTTCCCCAATTCTCATCCGATTCTTAAGAGGATTACCTTAAACGATTTCTAGATCGATTCCCCACCATTCTGCATCAAAATCCTGAGACTAAATATTTTTTAGATTTTTTG